ACGGTTTTCTGTATCAGTTACAGTTATTTGCATAAAGATCGCATTTTTACATGGAACTATATCACTGATTGTGAATATTGAAACGAAAAGTACAGAATTTTGTATCAGCTTTAAAATTTTGAAGCACTGATTCGTAAATTCGTAACGTTCTTGACGTGATACAGAATTTAGGATCAAGGATACAAATTTTTGTATCCGACTGACGTGTTACAAAATTTTGTATCAAGATCGTTACAAAATCCTATATTATTTTTTAGAGTGCGGGTAAAGGCTGATATATCCCCAAGCTAAACAATAGCCAGTCTCGCTGATGTCTGACCTTTTTTTGGTCATACATTTAAGTATGACCGTTTTTCGGTCATACATTTGTGTATGACCGTTTTTCGGTCATACATTTGTGTATGACCGTTTTTTCGGTCATACTTTTTGTATCACCGAAAATCGGTCAGATGTCTCACCCTTTGAATTTCAGTGTACCCTTAAATTGTTTGTAAATTTACGAACTAATTTTTTACAAGGTGGGGACGTTAGTCTTCGGAGCTCCCGTGTGACATTCAGACCACATCGCTCATCACTCTTTTATTCTCCAGAGAAGTTGCAAGTGGTCTCACTTGAGCCTACACTTCACGTTCTCCAGGACACCTGCATGCATCGTTTGATAATCGTATTGATTGTAACGAACGATTCACTGGCTGCCTTCAGAATTGCAGCCCCTGTCTGCACCTTTGCGATCCATGGCTTGCAATCGCCCTGCACGAAATGTCCATGATGCTTGTCATTTATCGTGTGCTGTCGTTCTGACCCGTTTGCCATGGTGCTCGTCTGCCAAGATCTGAAATCAACCCCGCTGCAGTTTTAGCCTAAGATATTGTCAAATTAGATCAAAACTGAAACCAACTCCGTGACAACCGTTGCTTGCAGGTGCCTGGCGCGTCAAGGCGGAGGCAGACCAGTGCGCCAGCCCTCCTGCAGGTGGATGCAGCGCCGCCGCTCCCCCCAGGACAGGACGACTCGGACGGTGAGTAGATGTGGCTGTACCGCAGCCAGTGGTCTCAGGCATGAACTTGCCATAAAGTCGCCAAGTTGAGAGTTCAGAATGTCTCGAGTGCCACTGGCGAGTACTTGAACTTCCCACGAAGACCCGCAGATGCATCTCGAGATAACCGCAGCGACTGTGACGAACGATTCAATGGCTGCCTTCAGCACGGCATCTTCTAGGCTGCATTCGCCCCGGTCCAAATTTCCGCGATGCTTGAACTGTACCGTTGGCAGTCGTTTGAACCCATTTGCCATGGTGGTCGTTGCTGCTGCAATCTGCCGCCTGCATGGGCCTTCGTTTCTCCTAGACTTATTTGCGTCACGCAACGCACTGCTCGCCAACGGCGGCGAGTTGGGCACCGCGAGGCGTTGTTGACGGTGTGGGCGTTTGGTTGCAGGGTTGGAGGCTGAGGAGCCGTGGCTGCACATCGACGCCACCTTCTCGCTCGCCTCTGGAGTCGGCCACGCCAAGCAGGACTCCGCGGCCAGCGGCACGGCTGGGGACGGAGGGGCGGACCGCGCTGTCGCCTCGCAGTGTGCGGAGCGTGGAGCGGCCTTGGATGCCGAGGCGGGCCTGGAGAAGCACCTCGCAGCGCGCGGCAAGCGGCACGCCTGCCAACACTGCGGCAAGGTGTTCACACGGGCGTTCAATCTTGAACTTCATTTAAGAACCCACACTGGGGAGAAGCCATACCAGTGCAAAGTGTGTGGAAAGAAGTTTGCGCTTTCGGGCAATTTGTCCCAGCATGAAAGGACCCACACTGGGGAGAAGCCTTTCCAGTGCCAAGTGTGCGCGAAGCGGTTCAACCGGAGGTCTCATCTTGCCGCGCACAGCAAAACCCACGCTAAGAAGAAGCCAGTTTAGTCCTAATGCACGTAGTTATTGTATGCGTTTGGACGTTCGCCAAGGCGGCCTGCCTCGGGTGTTCAAAATTTTTGTGGTTCAATTTAAGGACAGGCTTTTCGGTTCAAATATTGTAGGTGTCATTTCTGTCCACCCCAGGTAGAGGTCATGTGACTGCGCCTCTGACCTGTGTTTAAACACACACTGTTTGCTCACTTGTGCACACCTGTGCACACACTTGTGCTCTGCTTAATCTTCCGACGAAACTGTAACTTTGAACTGATTTTTGTGACTAACTCCTTTTTTTTACTC